ACGAAGACACTTGTATTTTTGTTTTTTTGATAAATAATTTATAGTTATATGTAAGCATTTGGAATTTCATTATATATAAATTATGTGTAATTATTTAAATTGTTATTTTTTAAAATCTATGAATTAAAGACATCCACCTAAGTTATTTATAAATCCACATAACTATCACCTTACACCTAACTAACACCACCCAACAATCCATCCAGCTTTTATATAAAAAATGCAAATACATAACAATTCTCACACAAAAACTAGTAATTCTTTGGACTGTGATATTGACAAATTTTGCAGTACAAATATCAGTAATGGCATGCTTTTTGGCGTAATACACAAAATTTCAGGTTCAACTTGCAAAACGGGGTTTTGTAGGTTTGGCCAATGAAATGATTGTTTACCTGCAAAATATGATTTCATGGCTAAATTTAGAGAATTTTGTAAGTATGACCTGAAAATTTTAAAATTGAATTAAGGTGTTTTTTTGCTTAAATAAATGATTAGTGGTCATTTTTGCGCTATTTCGTAGACATAACATGCGAAAATTGTGCAAATTTCCGGAAATTCATTAATTTTCTTTTGTCTAATTCTTATAAAAAAGGGTCAAAGTCAATATTCCAAGACCACACAGTCATTCATCATGTCGTGATCATCTATTGGTCACGTCGTGACCTAATAAGACAGATTAGTCGCGATCCTTCAATTCTCACGTCGTGACACCCAAGTTGTCTCGCCGTGAGAAGCGTTCTGGACAAATTTATGAAATAAGTTCTTAATCCCTTCAGCCATGCAACCAAAACTTCCGGAAGGTCTTATCTACTTCCAAATACCATAAAAATCCTGGCTTGTCAGACATGCATGGCTAATGCATGTCTTAACACAAGCTAGGTCTAAAATGGTGCAAAATATGGCCAAGATCTCATACAAGAGCTCAAAGTCCTATAAAACATGAAATCCATGACCTCTAACCATCAAAGGACCCTGGGGATCCATAAAGTTGGCAACTTTATGGAACTCCAACACTCCCACTAACCAAAACATGAAGAAAATCCATGGAAAGCTGAGATCTAAGTACTTGGAATCATAAAGTAAGGAACTTTGAAAACTCACAAAGGTCCAGAATGTGAGAAAAATGATGATGAAGCTTGGAAGTTGAGATGGTGCACCAAATGCTCTTCCTCTTCTTCTTCTTTCTTAGAAAACACCAAAATGGAGCTCAAAATCAACTATGGAGGATTAGGGTTTCAAGGGGGGGGGGGGGGGGGTATTAGGAGGTGATGGAGGCTGAGGGTGGGCTAACCCTAGCCCTCACTTCCTTTAAATACTGGAAAATCCCCAAAATTAGGGTTTGGCTCGCAACAGGTCTCACGTCGTGACCCATAAGTGGTTGCGTCGTGAGACCCAAAAACACGCTCATTTCTTCCATCGTGACACATAAGTGCTCACGTCGTGACCCGAGTTTAAAACTCCAAGTAATTAAAATCAGAGATTCAAAAAAATGTCTATATGGAACTGGGTGTTACACTCGACAAGCTGGACATTCGTGACCTTCATGCTCCATCTTGAGAGAGAGAGAGAGAGAGAGAGAGAGAGAGAGAGGTAAAGGAATATTTTAATTTATTTATGGATTCTTGTAACCTTATCTTTTTTCCCTTTTATCTCTCCCGTATGTTTAAGAGTTTGTTTGTTTCCTCTCTATTTAATTTTGGTTTGGTGAATAATAAAAGTTAAGTTGGGTTAATATCGCTTTCTTCAGAGTTTAAGGTTGATTTTTCTAATGGATCATCGTTGAATCTGATGAGTATGGTGAGATCCGTCAAAACGAACTAGCCCCAAGGTGGGGGGGAGCCAATATAAATTCTTGTTTTTGATCTATTCACCTTCCTTATCTTTTAGTATTCCACATATCTATTGTTGTTGCCTTATTTTTTTTTATGGATTCTTGTTACCTTATCTTATTATTATTTATTATTTATTTTCTTTTATCTCTCTCTTATGTTTAAGAGTTTGTTTGTTTTCTCTCTATTTAATTTTGGTTTGGTGAATAATAAAAGTTAAGTTGGCTCAATATCGTTTTCTTCATAGTTTAATGTTGATTTTTCTAATGGATCATCCTTGAATATGATGATTATAGAGAGATCCATCAAAGCGAACTACCCTCAAGTGTGTGTGTGTGTGTGTGTGTGGGGGGGGGGGATTCACCTTCTTTATCTTTTCCTATTCCACATATTGAGATTGAATATTGTAATCACTTCTATCTATTATACAGGTGTTATACGTGTTTTGTTCTATAAAGCATAAACCGAATTTACGGGGTGTTTTTTTTTTTTTTTTTTAATTTTTTTTTATTATCTAGGTCATATTTGCACCTTAACACTCCCTTTCCCTCCGAGTGCATTTTGTTTCTTACCAAATCATATCATTAATCCAATTGACCAAAATACCTTTCTACTATCTAAAACCTTCTTTATCTTTTCCTATTCCACATATTGAGATTGAATATTGTAATCACTTCTATCTATTATACAGGTGTTATACGTGTTTTGTTCTGTAAAGCATAAACTGAATTTACGGGGTGTTTATTATTATTATTATTATTATTATTATTATTATTATTATTATTATTATCTAGGTCACATTTGCACCTTAACACTCCCTTTCCCTCGGAGTGCACTTTGTTTCTTCCCAAATCATATCATTAATCCAATTGACCAAAATACCTTTCTACTATCTAAAGCCTTATCCTAAAACACTTTATAAGTTAGCCTATTGGTCATCTTTAACCCTATTTTAGCATATTATATTTTATTTATAATGGTAGCCCCTTTATTTCCTTCATTTAATTAATATGATCAATGAATTGATTTATCCATAATTATTCGCATACCACTTTTTTAGATTCCATTTCAATTGATATTTCATTGCTTTGAAAAACATTTTCCAATGTCAAAATCAGATGATGTAGCAAATGCTTGGGAACTTTGACCATTTTGAGTTTATTCGAGTGCATATACTTTCATCAAAAACATAAAAATATAACTTAAAAGAGAGATATATACCCTTGATTGTCATTCCTTATATGTGTCCAAGATTCATATAATAATAAACAAATTTGATTCAATTAATTGCCATATCTGCCACGTTTTCCTTCAAAAGAACCAAAACAACCTTCCTTATGATCTCCTAACATACCAAAACAATAATCTCACAAAGCAATCAGAAATCCAGAATCATACCATGTAAACAAATGTGGACACATTACCAAAAACAACAGACAGCCCACAAATCGCCAAACAAATGTGAACACATTACCAAAAACAAGAAACAGCCCACAAATCGCCAAAAAAGTTAGTTCGATATCATCATTACACTTTCACACTTCCCCATATCACATACATGATAAATCATCCCACACCCACGTTCCCAAACTCACAAATGGAGTCCCTGAGAAGCGCCCTACCGTTGCTCCTTCTGTTTCTTTTACCGGCCGCCGTTCACGGCTGGGGCGTCGACGGCCATTACACAACCTGCAAGATAGCTCAGGGAAGATTGAGTGAAGCAGCATCAAACGCAGTCAAGGATCTGTTACCAAAATACGCAGAGGGTGATTTAGCGAGTCAATGTTCATGGGCCGATCATGTCAAGTTCCGATATCATTGGTCGTCGGCGCTTCATTACATCGATACCCCTGATAACCTCTGCACTTATCAGTATACCAGTAAGTAGTAGTGGAAAATCGAGATTCTTGTTTTGTTTTCTGTTAATCCGCCATTTTTATGTGCTTAAATGGTGATTTGTGAGCAGGGGACTGTAAGGATGAAGATGGAGTGGCCGGAAGATGTGTCGCCGGGGCAATTAAAAACTACACCACACAGCTACTCGACTATGGCAAACAAACAACTCAGTGTAATTAAATTCGCAAATTTCTTTTTCTAATTCTTTGTTTCGAGATCTCAAATGAACTATGAACATGAAATACATTAAACATATCATTGTAGATAATCTTACAGAGGCACTGCTTTTTCTTTCTCATTACATGGGAGACATTCATCAGGTATATGATAATAACCAATTTGACTTTATTATCTAACAAGTGAAAAGACTAAATTGCCCCTGTTACAGCCGCTACATGTAGGATTCACTTCGGATAGAGGTGGGAACACGATTAATGTTCATTGGTTCACAAGAAAATCAGAACTTCATCATGTAAAACTCCTAAAATAATTACCATTATGTAATCAAAATTAAGATTGATCTTGTTAAACTAACGATCAAAAGATACATACAATACGTTATACAGGTTTGGGATGACAGCATAATTGAGACTGCAGAAGAAAGATTCTATGATTCTAATGTTGAAAATCTTGTCAACGCAATTCAGACTAACATAACGGTATTATTACATTACAATATTACATGACTTGTTTAATAATTTTTAAGTTTTTTTTTTTGGGGGATTTTAGTTAGTTTTTTATACATTTTATTTGGCAGAAAGAATGGGCAGATCAAGTTCCAACATGGGAGAAGTGTAGCAGAAATCAGAATACTTGTCCTAACATGTACGTGAAACCATATATAATACATAGACGCAAAAAAACAATTAGAAATGAACATTTTTTTTTTTGTTTTTATAAATTTAATTACTTTCAACAGATATGCAAGTGAAGGAATAAAAGCAGCATGTAGTTGGGCATACAAAGGAGTTGGGAATGATTCGGTTCTTGGAGATGATTACTTTTTGTCACGTTTACCAATTGTTAATTGGCGATTAGCTCAAGGTGGTGTTAGATTGGCAGCAACTCTTAACAAAATATTTGGATGAGATATTATTCTTCTAGTGTTAACATTTTCAGATATAATATTGAAATGAAATATTGTTCTAGTGTTAACATTTTTTCAGATGTATCATGCATTACCATTTTAATTCCAAAACATGAACTTCTTTATTGTTTTATACATAAGTTGTTATTTATATTATCGACATATGCAAAAGGAATACAGATTAATTAGTCTGTTTTCTTGACGACAAGAACCGGGCAGTTGGCATGGTGGACACAATAATTGCTGACACTCCCCAACAACGTCCTGTTCAAATGAAGCACGAAAATGTTTTACTATATATAAAGTTATACATATGCTATGTTATAGATGATTAAAGTAATATTGTTTAAAAAAATAATAATGTTTTATATCAACTTTCTAATACTATTAAAAAGAGCTATTGTTCATAGTTAAGGACAATAACTTAGTTATTTTTAACAAAACATATAAGAGTTATATTGAAGGAAACCTTATGACAGCTCCACGACCATGGCTACCTACCACGAGCAACTGAATGTTTAACTTGTCTACTGCATTGCAAATGGCCACTTTAGGGTCTCCCACCTCTGTCATTCCTTCTGCAATGATCTGTGAATTCAAGAAGAACTTAATCCAATATTTCTTTAGAACAAAATCTAACTTACTCAGTTTGTAATTAGTTGTAAGTTTGGAGAAAACGAAATCACACCCTGTAATCAGTGCATGTAGTTTTAGCTTTCTCGAGTAACTCAAGAGCTGCCTTCTTCTCACTTTCTTTGAGCTCCTTTATCAGCTCAGCGGCTGCAATAAAAAGGAAGTGAATCTAAAACCATTTCATCCTTAGGAGTAGTAGTTATATATAAGGATAAATTGATATATAGATAGATAAACAACGACATACTTCCCCAAGAAGATGCATACAAATAGCCGATATCAACTGGGGTTCGAGTTGTGTAGATAACAAGTTGTGAATCACGAATGGTGGAGCCAAGGTTTTTTAGGACCCAAGTGAGGGCATACTCGCTAAACTCACTATCATCGATTGCCACCATCACCTTATAATTCTTCATGGGGCTATCTATGGCTGAAATTCCAACATCCTCCTCCGCCATCTGCAACAACACATAAATCTCTTTCTTTCTCTTATGGTTTCTTAAAATCTTGAAAAGTTGAAAACAAAAAGAAGGTTTATATTTAGAGATCTAGGCGAACGGTTGTTGCTATTGTCTTTAGTGCTCTTATCTGATCTGACTTGTAAGTGCTTTGAAGAGGTTAAGATTGTCTTCATATGTGAGTGTCATGTGAACTCGAGGATCGATGCTTCAAGTCTGCTATTGCCATTCTTGATGTTTATCCATTTGGATAGAACTACTAGTATATATACATATTTTAATCGATTTGGCAAACGTAATGAGAAATTGCCTAGGGCAATTTCGCCCGACTATAGGAAACAAATTTCTTCTCCAAATTAAATATTTTCTGTTCATAATCTGTTTATATTCTTTAATGTTTTGTAGGTGAACAAATGAAATAAGTAGCTTTTGTCTACATGATAAATTTGGTACAAATGAAATAATGATCGATTATTGTTAATGGGTGTTGATTATTGTGATAATGACTTAAAAGGTAATATATTTTTTTGATTTATATATATTCATAAGGTAATATATTTTTTTCGTCCATATTTACACTCTTCAACTTGTTAAACTGTACACATTCAGTCCTTATGACATTCTATTCTAGGTTAGCCGGTAAAAATGACTTAATAGAGTAATATATTTCTCACGTGTACACATTTAGTCCTTAATATTTTTGTATACATTTAGTCTTTAATATATTTTTTTTGTGCAAAAATAAGTTATTTTTATTTTTGTACTCATTTAGTACTTATGAATGATTTCTTTAGGTTTTTCTCACAACATCTTACGTGAGACAATCATTAATGAGGTCGTTGTAGTATAGTGGTAAGTATTCCCGCCTGTCACGCGGGTGACCCAGGTTCGATCCCCGGCAACGACGCCAAAAGTTGATGGGATGTCAAGTCCACCAAGCAAATTATACCATTTGTTTGCAAATAAAACGTAATATAATGATAAAAAGTGGTATTGATCCTCGGGGAAATGGTTGTATTCAATCACCAATGCAATCCAATAGAACTAGTGTAATAAACTAACTAACTACAATTAAACTAAAGGGGGGGGGGTGATTGCTTGAAAACTAAGACTTGAATAACTAAAAAGCTTGCAATTAAGCAAGATGGTGAGATGCTCAAATATTGGAGAGAATTGGTCAACCAAGGCAATTCAACACAATGAACATTTGTGTGTTTATCATTAGGATTGAATATGAAGTTTATTATTCATCCCAAATTGGTTATAACAATCATGAAACATGATATGCCAAGATTCCTCATCGGTAGTATGGAGGTTGGGGAAGCCCGGGATTCAATTGAAACAATTGAACCCAAGAAAGTTGATTAGCCTTAAGAATGAAGGAATCCCCAATTCCTAGAGGATGTCAATGCTTACACATCCATAATGGAGTTATGATGCATAAGCTAGAGATGATTTATGCCATCATAAATCCCTTGTTCTAAGTAAATTCAATGATTCAATGCTAAACCAAGAAAAAAACCAACAATTTCTGATTCAAGTACCAAGCTCATGATCAAAGTATTAAACAAGCATAAGAAATATGAACTAGAATCATAAACATAAGATAAATGACAATCAATCATGAATCCTTCAAAACCCACAAATATCCAAGGGTTTTAGCCAAAGTTGACCAAAATAAAGAAACTAGCCACTCATGGCAACAAGAAAACAATCAAAAAAGTGTTTTTGCATCAAGAAACTAACAATTACTTAGAAAGATGAGAAGCATGTGTATCAAGCTCCCCAAAATCGCCTCCAAGGTGCTCTAATGGTGTCAAATCGAAGTATCAACTGCTAGACCTAACCCCCAAGGTAAATGATGAGCAAAATGACCAAAATGCCCTAAAGTGCACAGTTGCGCGGGTACCCTCGCAAGTGTTGCGCGACTGAGACTCCACCCTCACAAACGATGCTGGAATGCTATTGGTTCTTTTTCTCCACTACACCACCTCACTTCTCAAGATTCCATTGGTCCCCTCCACACCTCACATGATTCAAATTTGGCCAATCATCTTCAAGCTTCAAAATGTGGATAGTCCAAGCCCAAAATAAGAATCCAAGACCCATCTTCATTAGCCCACTTCATCCAAGTCTTCAAATTTTTAAACCCAAATCTCTTTTGATGGATCCGCAAAGCTCAATGACGCCTCTAAAGCCCACAAAGCCCATCTCCAAGATAATACACAACCGCAACGAGCTCCAAAAACCTGCAAAATATCTCATGCAAAAGAGAAAGTACCTGACACGATCCATGATAAACAAAATAATGAATATACAATGCAATACTAATAAAAAGAGCTAAAAAATCTAAAATAAACTATAAAAAAGGAAATAAAATAAATCATCAGAGACCAAGAAGATAAGATTAAATCTTCTCCGACGGATTACCAATTCCTCTTCTTCGTCGACTCAATTTCTTCTTCTATCATCGTTATTCATGTTTATCCACTTAATTTCATTGACTATTGTCGACACACCAACAACATACAATGAGCTATTAAAGTACGATTTTCCTGTTGACATTCTTCCGGAAGGTGTCACGGGCTACAATCTAAACAAAAAGACTGGAGAGTTCAAGACTTACATGAAAGAGACTTGTTCTTTCAAAATTCAAGGCTATGATCTCAAGTACAAGTCAACGATTATTGACGTGATAGAGAAAGGTAAGTTGAAAAATCTCAAGTACAAGTCAACGATTGGTGGCATGATAGAGAGGTGAGCAATTTTTTTGGAATCACCACGGTGTGGTAATGGATTTGATTGTACTGATATGTTTTGGTTTCAGGCGATTTTTTGATGTCTTCCTATTGATCTGAGTTTCCTCCATGACTGTTGTTGGTGTAGGTCTATTTGCTAGACCCGACTGTCGGCGCTCTGGCCAAACAGCGAGCCAGCGAGACTGCACTGTCCGACGGCCACGCCTGGCAGCATTTCCTGACAGCTCAACCCAGCCTTGACTAGTTGGGCCTGAAATGGCTTAGCCCATGGCCTGAACTAATTCCCTATACCTAATGGTCCCTTATAAATAAAATAGGCCCTCCTCCTTAAGGAGGCATGTTTAGATCAGCTCCTAGATAGCATCTGAACAACCCCCACTATACTCAGGCCTCTCCCACCTTGAGAGATCAGCCACCATGCCTATACAGTCTCCTCATATATCCAGGCGATTCTCTCCATCCAGGAGAACCCATCTCATCACATATCGATCTGACTTGATCGTCAGAGCTTGCTCCCAGGGCACAGTCCCTGGGGCGGTTCTAACGAATTCTTGATGTGATGCCAGCTAGGTATCACGCCGGGAACTCGCTAGCGGCACCACTTCCGAGACTCCAACACCCGGTGGCCTAGGCTAACGTTGCAACACCTGTGATGGAAACTGCACAAATAATTCCAAGGAGCAAGTCCATGTGAATAATTTCTTGAAACATTTCAAGTGTACGCTTATTTCAGATGGTGGTATCGATCTTTAAGCAACTGGGTTTTTTTATTGGGTGATCCCCTTTTTTGCTTCTTCCACTTTCAGCTTTTTGGCCACTCGCCATTTTCCCTTTCAATAACAACAATTTTTGGAGTTCATATTCTGACAAATTGTGGTGGAGGTTACTAGAGATTGAGGCGAAGGTACTGAAACAGAGAGAATGGTAGAGAATGGCGTTGCAGGTGAGGAACAACAAGAGGAAGATGATGAAGTGGGGGAAGTGAGTTTCTTATTTCTGACGATATATATATATATATATATATATATATATATATATATATATATATATATGTATATATATATATATATATATATTAGATATATATATATATATATATATAGAGAGAGAGAGAGAGAGATATATATATATATATAGATCGGCCCATAATGGGGTTATTTATTTTGTTTTTATTTTTTTAATAATCTTAATTAAATTTAATTATAAGAAGAAATGAAAATGATATAAAAGTCTTTTTAGGTGGGTGAGGGACCGGCCATGATGGAAATTGAAAACCACATAGACCTTCTATTAAGTTTTTTAAAGTTAGAGACTATACATCATATTTTGGAAAACCACAGGGACATTTTATGATGTTTTGTCTTATTATTATTATTATTATTATTATAGTTTTAATATGTCTATTTAAAAAAATACGAACAACTATATGTACGTTTATGTGTAAGGTTTATTTACGAATGATTGTATTTTATATATTGTTCAATAATTATAAAAAATCGACACAATATAGACCATTCAATATTTTTGTCTTTGATTTTTTATTTTTAAATTCTAAAAGTTATTATCATCGTCTTAATATATTGCTCCATGAAAACCCATAGGGTGATCCGAACAATTTTTTTTACAAACAATTACATATGTGTGTATTGTGTTTTAGAAAATGTTTTTATATATTTATACACTTTTGTATAATTATATATATATATATATATATATATATATATATATATATATATATATATATATATATATATATGTTTTGTTTTAATTCTTTTTACAAACAGTTATATGTGTTTGTGTCTGGGTTTTATTTAGCGGATATGAAAATCGCAACAAAAGAATAACATGGGATTGTTCATACAAAAAAACGACACAATGGTAGTTCGAACGAAAAAATAACACATGGATAGTTTGAATGAAATAATGATACAATGATAGTCCGAACGAAAAAAATAACACAAGCATAATCGGAATGAAAAAATAACACATAGATAGTCCGAACGAAGTAGATAATACAAGGGTAGTCAAAACGAAAAGAATAACACATGGATGGTCGAAAAAACAAATAGATAGCCGAAACAATAAAAATAACACATAGATAGTCTGAAAAATAACGCAATGATAGTCTGAATGAAAAAAATAACATGTGGATAATACGACCAAAAATACAACACAATGATAGTCCAATTGGAAAAAACAAATTAAGAATAGTTCGAACAAAAAATAACACATAAATAGTCT